AGGGAGGGAGAGAGAGACAGAAACATTAATGATGAGAGAGAGTCATTGATTGGCTGCCTCCTGCGCGCCCCATACTTGGGATGGAGCCCGAAACCCGGCCATGTGCCCTGACCAGGAATCGAACTGTGACCTCCTGGTTCATAGGTTGATGCTCAACCATTGAGCCACACTGGCTGAGCTGTCCTCTTCTCTCCATCCCCAATGTCCCTGCCCAGTCCAGGCCACCTCCATCTCAGGCCCTCAACCCCCTCTCTACCTGGTGGTGGCCTAGATGCCAAGCTGCACACGTCTCTCTTGTGCTTCAAGACCTGGTGTGGTCCCATGAGCTGAGGGCAGAGCCAAAGCTCCTGACCGTAGCCTTCAAGGCCTCGTTTCCAGACATGTTTCCACCCCCACTGGGCTCCAGCCACACTCCTCCCAGTTCCTCAAAGAGGTCAGTGGCCTGTCCCAGGCCATCCATGCTCTTTCCACTTCTCCACCGCATAAACTCCTACTCATGCGTCAGAGCCCTTTGAAATGTCACCTGCTAGGTAGGCCCACCCACTCTGACTTGACAGTTCTCTGAGGTGGCCTAAATGTGGGCCTGAGAAGACTGTCAGGTTTTCCCATCCCAGGCCCCTCCCCAGAAGCCAACCTCTCGGAAGGCAGGGGTCTCCTTTCCTTGTCTCGGCATCCCCAGTGTCTACCAAGAGTGGGGTACACAGTGGGTGCTCGGGGGACAGCTAATGAAGCAGGAAACAGAAGCTCAGAGAAAGAGGACTGGCCCAAGGACTCACAGCCAGGGAGTGGCTAAGCCAGGCCTGGGATTCAGAGCTCAGCATTCCATTCATAAAGGGAGCCGCCCGTTCATTTATCATTCATTCCACAAGTATTTACGGAGTCCTCTAGCAGACAGAATAATGCGCCCCCGCCCCACCCCCCAAAAAACAACCTGCCCACTTCCTAATTCCTGAAACCTGTGACTGTGACCTTGCATTTCAAAAGAGTTTTGCAGCTCTGACCGGTTTGGCTCAGTAGATAGAGTGTCGGCCTATGGACTCAAGGGTCCCAGGTTCAATTCCAGTCAAGGGCATGTACCTTGGTTGCGGATACATCCCCTGTGGGGAGTATGCAGGAGGCAGCTGATCAGTGTTTCTCTCTCATTGATGTTTCTAACTCTCTATCCCTCTCTATTGATTTATTAAAAAATCAATAAAATATATTTTAAAAAAGGGTGGCGGGGGGGGGAACTTTGCAGTGTGTTTGAGGCCAGTCAGGCAGAGAGAGTTGCCGGATGATCTGAATGGCCCCCTGGAGTCACCGTGGGTCAGACGCAGACAGGAGACGGGGTGCCAGAGAAAGACTGTGCTGCCTGAAGCCCGGCCACGTGACCCGGCCCATGACCTGGGGTCACAGCGGGGAAGGGGCCCCTGCTCCATGGCGTTTACCTCGGAGACAGACGACACACAGACAAACAACTACCAAACATGGTCATGTCCGGTCGTCGTGAGCGTCGTAAAGAAAATGAAACAGAGAAGGTGACTATGGGGAAGAGGCTGGGGGTACGCAGGGAAGCATCTACGAGGGGTGACACGGAAGCCGAAATCCAGAAGATACGAAGGAGTCTGCCGGGGAGCAAAGGGCACGTGCCAAGACCCTGGCGGGTGGGGGGCGGCGGGCAGCTAAGGGGAGAGGCGGGCAGGCCTCCTGATGGTTTGCATCGGAAGCCCACAGCATCACCTGGGAAAACCTCTTGTAAAAGGCATGACCCAAAGCCCGTCACAGCAGACAGACACCCTCTGAGCCCACATCCGAGAGGGCCCTGGAGTCATCAGTTCATAGAGACAGCACGGTGGTTGCTAGGAGCTGGAGGGAGGAGGGGATGGGGAGTTATTAGGTGATGGATACAGAGTTTCAGTTTGGGAAGACGAACACGTTTTGGAGATGGATGATGGCGATGGTTGCACAGAATCTGAGTGTATTGAATGCCACAGAATTATACCCCTAAACATGGTTAAAATGGTACATTGGATGTCATGTATATTCTGCCAATAAAAAAGAAAACAAAAGCAAATGAAAAGTTGCTCCACATCCTATGTCACCGGGGAAAGGCAAGTTAAAACAGCAACGAGGTACCACTGCACACCCATCGGAACGGCCACGGTCTGCAACGCGGACACCACCAAATGCTGGGAGGCTGTGGAGCCACAGGAACCCGCCTTCGCTGCCGGTGGGAAGGTGAATGGCCCAGCCACTTGGGAAGACGGTTGGTGGCTTCTTACAAAACGAATCGTACTCTTACCATGCAATCCGGACATCACGGCCCTCGGCATTTACCCAAAGGAGCCGAAAACTTATGTCCACACGAAAACCTACACGGTAGCAGTTTTATTCATAATCGTCAAAACGTAGAAGTGTCCTTCAGTAGGTGAATGGATCAGGAAACCGTGGCGCACCCAGGGAATGGCATTAGTACGTAATGCTGAAAAGAAATGAGCGATCGAGCCACGAAAAGACACGGAGGGACCACAGGTGCGTAGTACTAAGTGAAAGAAGCCCATCTGAAGAGGCTGCATATGGCGTGATGCCAACTGTGGGACATTCTGGATGAAACTATGGAAACAGTAAAAAGATCGGTGGTTGCCAGGGATGCGGGGTGGAGAGAGGATGGACAGGAGGAGCACAGGGGCTTTTTAAGGCAGTGAAACTACCTCGTGTGATACCATCGGGACGGAGACACGCCATTATGCTTGAGGAGCACAGGGGCTTTTTAAGGCAGTGAAACCACCCCGTGTGATACCATCGTGACGGAGACACACCATTATGCTTTTGCCCAAACCCACAGAATGTACAACACCAAGAGTGACCCCAACGTAGACGATGGACCGTGAGGGACTGTGCTGTGCTGTGTCTGATGGTAACGAACGTACCGCTCTGGTGAGTGATGTGGTCAGGGGGGTGGGGCAGGGAGAAACCTCCGGAGGGAAAGTGGCATCTACACTGTCCCGGGCAGCGGCAGCAGCTGCAGACCTGCAGGAGACAAACTTTCCAGCCGAGGCAGTCGAGGCACCTCAAGAATGGCTGATTTTCGAAGACTAGTGTCCACAAGAGAAGATGCTTGGTTTTCACAAGCCACAGGTGCGGCCAAGTGCAGAAGGCTGTTGTGTGTGCAGAGCGAGGCTCTCTGGGCCTCCACTCGCCGGCAGTGAGCGCTCTGAGGAGGACTGCCAGGGCCGTTTTGCGTTGCAGGGGACGCGTCCAGGAGGCACCTGTGACGCCTGTGTCCTGCTCGGGAAGGACGGAAGAGATCACCAGCAGAATGAAGACAAACAAACAGCCCTAGCTGGTTTGGCTCAGTGGATAGAACGTCGGCCTGCGGATTGAAAGGTCCCAGGTTCGATTCCAGTCAAGGGCATGGACCTTGGTTGTGGGCACATCCCCAGTAGGAGGGTGTGCAGGAGGCAGCTGATCGATGTTTCTCTCCCATCAATGTTTCTAACTCTCTATCCCTCTCTGTAAAAAATCAATAAAATGTATTAAAAAAGACAAACAAAACTAGAATCAAGTGGTCGATGCAACGGCAGGACCCAGTCTAAAGACTGCATGGAAACCAAACAGGTGACAACTCTGCCAGGAAACAGGATAAAAAGCAACCAGGACAGCAACTGCAGGAGGAATTCAAACACCACAACCCTGATGCCTACGGCAGCGCCATCTCCCTGGCAGAGCAGCCGTGGGAGGACGGCTGGGATGCAGAGAGGGCTCAGGGCTCCAGCAGGACGCCAGGGCTTCCCTTGGGTCTCACACGCCAGGAAAGGGAAAAGGAGGGAGACGTGTTGTGGGGCATCTGTAAGGGCGGTTGGGGAAGTCCTCACGGACACACGGGTTCTATTGCTGAGCGGTACGAAAGCCGCCGCTCACAGCGTAGTTCTGAACGGGCTGTTATTCCTCCACCTCCACACGTGCCACACACCCCAAAGCCAGCGTCTAAGGCACTAGAAGAAGAAGACAGAACGTGGAGGTGCTGATACTTAAGATGCTGAGTGTTTCACAGGGAAGCTGAGTGCTGATGTAAAGTGCTCTTTATGTCTTTGTCTTTCAAATCCCCTTCTAAGGAATGATCAAAAAGTTTGCCCACCCCTGCCCTAGAGGCAGCTGTTAATAACTCTGAAATATTAAGGTCTGGCCGAGGTTCAGGTGACTCAGACTTGTGCAGTCCAGCAGGACAGGCTAGGCTCCCCGTTGCAAATACCTTGGAAGAGTCGTTTCTAGTGTCATAACCCAGCCACCTGGACTTGCCCTAGAGGCAGCTGTTAATAACTCTGAAATGTTAGGGTCTGGCCGAGGTTCAGGCGACTCGGACCTGTGCAGTC